ACTAATATTGTGATGGCATTAATAATGACCCAGGACATTATTTGTCAACTCATATTTTATAGAAATTACATGAAAGGTTTAAATCCAATTGATTTGCGTGTATTTGAGGTGATGTCCGGCTTATTGCCACCGAATAGTATTGGTTTGGATGACAAACAAATTGTTATAAAATTGCGGAAAGTTTTTAATAGATATATAAATATTGGTAGAAATTACGGTCGATTAATCTTTATTCAGGCTTTCCTAGTAGTATTTTTCAGTTATTATATGAAATTATCTAGATGGTATTTTATTATATATGGTATTCCACATACTATACTCACAATGATTATAGCACAGAATTGCTTTCAAATAATGGTCTGGCTATTTGTGTATTATTATTTAATCACTTATTATTTACGATTAAAATTGAAAATGATCAATCTTGACTTAACAAAAATAATGCAAAANTTGACTTAACAAAAATAATGCAAAAACAAATTAACAATAGATCTGATTTTACAATGCTATTTATTAAAACATCATTAAATGTGCGCAAATTAAATGCAATTTATAGTGAGATCAGTAAATATAATGATATATTTTGGTCAAAGTATTTATGCATCCTATGGTTCACATTGAGTGCAATGATATCCACAACATTTTATATATCATTCCTAAGCAACAGTAATATCATTAACAAAATAGCCCTGTTCACCTTTTTCATGGTATTCTCATTAATATTATTATTTATAATCCGTATTTCATCCCTCATTTATATTGAGGCAAATATTTCATACAAATTGTTAAATTCAATCATAGCATACAAAAAAATATCATTAACATATTGTATATAAAAATAGTCAAAGATGTACATAGAAAGTAGATCATTAAATTAAAATTATTTTGCTCTCTATTAATGAATTATATTATTTTACAAAGAACAATAACAATTTGTTTAAATATAAATGTCATTTAATTTATTATTATTATATAAATTTAGTGTTATAAACAATTATTATATAAAAAACAAAATTATTGTACAACGACATTATAATACTTCATTAGTCACATGAAAATTACATTTGTAATACACTATAATATACATTAATACAAAATACCTAAAATGTTTGATAAGTATTCATTAATTTATATGTTTTATTTTCCTCATAATTCACAGCTGAAGTCATGTATAACATGAATGCAAACATATTGAATATCATGAATAGTGTATAAAACAAAATCACCCGGACAATTAAACCCATGTCTTGAAACACAATTACATACAATAATAGTGTAAATGATAAACCCATTAGAGACCAGATATTAAATATAAATTTACTCCAATACGACCCGTTATACTCACTCATCTCAGTGTATATTGAATTAAATGATCGCAATTTATCCAAAGTATATATTGAACTAAATTTACGATCACAACAGTTTATAATCAGTTGTTTATTAATTAATCGTATTTTGTATTTTTCATAATAACAAATTAGATATAAATAGACCAAGAGCCATATATTAAAGTTAGCGTTATAAACCATCAGTATTGTTAAATGAATGACATTTGGTATACCATAGCATATAATCTCAATTACAGTACAATTCTTGAGGTACGGAATCGACCAGAATATTGCTCCCAATATTATAGTCTTATCAGTAATAAAGTGACAAATTTTGAATATACGGTTAGATTTCATTGCAAATGTTTGTATAAATTGACAATCTGTAAGTCTAATATCTGCTGGTTTTGTATACTGTATTTGGGTTTAATATTAAGATCAGTTAAATGTTTGGTATGCGTTCAACAATTTATATGTTTTGTTTGCCTCATAATTAACAGTCGATGTCATGTATATTATAAATGAAAATATAGTTAACGACACAAACAATGTATACAGTAACAATAGAAATATAATTAGACTCATAGTATTATTTTGAAATACTAGGATATATGTCAAAGTAATAATTACGAGACCCCAGAGTGACCACACGTTACAGATATGTTTTGACCAATACGTGCGGTTATACTCACGAATTTCACCGTATATTGAAGTTAATGAATGAATTTTTTCAGTTTGATCAGTTTGATATGAATTCAACAATTTATATGTTTTGTTTGCTTCATAATTAACAGCCGATGTCATAATATAATATTTATTTTTATATCAATTGCGGTGATTGTCACTTATTTTATTATCATTTATATATTGATCACAGTTCAAAACTTTATATTCATATATATAATTATTTTGTTATTTATCTGGGGTTTCACACCACACGTTACAAATATGTTTTGACCAATACGTGCGGTTATATTCATTAATCTCATTGTATATTGAAGTTAATGAATGAATTTTTTGCGCAATCAATAAACCTGTAAGTTCATTTGTCATTTTTAAATGCTCAATTATTTGTTCATTAATTGCACGTATTTTGTGTTTAAGATAATAACAAATAAGATATAAGTAAACCAAAAGCCATAGATTTAGATTACAGCCATAGAGTATAACTATAGACCCGTGGATTATATTCGGTATACCATAGCATATGATCTCAACTATAGTACAATTCTTGAGGTACGGAACCGTCCAGAATATTGCGGTCAATATGATTGTCTTACTGGTAATAAAATGGCATATTTTGAATAATCTTTTAGACTTTATCGCAAACTTTTCAATAAAACCACAATCTGTAAGCCCAATATCTGCCGGTGTTTGCTTTCCTGATAATACATTAAATATAGCCATAAATGTAGGCTTTGTGCCCAGTTTATTGGTCAAATAAAATATGAACTGAAACTATGATCAATTATTATGTTCCTTATAATGGTACTATAGTATTACGAAAAGGTATAAGTAATCCATACCTTTCAGGCGATTGTAATACTTATAGTCAGCGGTAAGAAACCCACTTTTATTTCAATTAATTAGTTTAATGATAGCCAACCACTGGATTGTTTGTATCACAAATGGATTGTACAAGAAACTCCTATTGACTAAATGATCCACTTGATTTTGGTTCTCTAAAAATCCAATTGCATATAATTGTGAACACGCTGTTGGTGTAATTAAATTAAGTGGTATTAGATGTTTGGGATTAATCATATTTATATTTTTATTGATAGTTAATAAAACTTTTAAATTATTATTTATTCTACACAACTTATAATATACTGCATAATTTGTTAAACAAATAATATTTTAAATAAAATTACTTAAACTAAACTATAGTTTTAGTAACTATATACTGTATTTTGTTATACTATTTTCTAAAAATATTTATTAATAAGATCATTAAATTAACATTTTATTTAATATACTGCGCGCACTTTAAAAACTAGAATAATACTGTTAATTAATTTTTGCTAATTAAGTTACTGTAAATATAATTATTTTATTCAAATATAACTTAATTACATTGTTTTTAAAAATATTTGTTAAACTTTGATATTTAGAAAAATATAAAGAATAGCTATGAGTTACAAACTAGCATTGTACCACATTTATACTATTAATTTAATTTATTAAATTAAACGTTTTATTAAATTGACTGGCTCATATTAATACAGAATTCATTAATTTTGAAACATTAAAAAATTTAGTCTTACTTATATAATACTATAATGTTTATAGAAAATCACATACAGTGTGTTATACTGCTAATCAACACTTCCGCGGCATTTGGAAGTGGGGTATGTCTGGCTACCAGTGTATTACCGGTACTATGAATGTGTAAACTATAGCACAGATTCTGTTGTATCGATAGGAATGCTATACAAAGAGATTGAATTAGATATGAAAAACCACACGAAAACCCACAGAGTGTCGGAGCCGTACGACTCGCCCACACACGCGGGCGAAATGTTTGCCATTAGCCGCAAGTTTTTCCTGGAGTTAGGCGGCTATGACTCCGGGCTGTTAGTCTGGGGCGGAGAGAACTTCGAGCTGTCGTTCAAAGTGTGGCAATGCGGGGGTCGCCTACAATGGGTGCCCTGTTATTATTATTATATTATTATATGGATTTAGTGTAATAAACAATTGTTATATAAAAAACAAATTTATTATTGTATAACGACATTATAATACTTTATTAGTAACATGAAAATTACATTTGTAATACACTATAATATACATTCATATAAAATACCTAAAATGTTTGATAAGTATTCATTAATTTATATGTTTTATTTGCCTCATAATTTACATCTGAAGCCATGTATAACATGAATGCAAACATATTGAATATCATGAATAGTGTCTAAAACAAAATCACCCGGACAATTAAACCCATGTCTTGAAACACAATTACATACAATAATAGTGTAAATGATAAACCAATTAGAGACCAGATATTAAATATAAATTGACTCCAATACGACACGTTATACTCACCGATCTCAGTGTAATCATAAAATGTTAATTATTATTGTATAATTATGATACTTTAATTGTTAATGTGTAGAAGCATACAATGTAATTATAAAACAAGAAAATTATATTTACATTTTTATTATAATCTAAATAATTATAAGCTAAATAAATAATCAATTAATGATTTGTTTTTAATGACTATTAATATTAATTACGTTAATATTTATTTTATTAGTTTCATTGCTATAAATAACTATTTTTATTTAAAAATTATTTAAAGTTATTTAGTTTCATTAAAGCATAGAATTGATATTTTCACATTATTGTGTTTGTAAGCTATTAATTTTTATACGGTAATCATAAACAAAGTAAAATAATATACATTATAAATGATTAGATTGTTTGATAGGTATTCAACAATTTATAGGTTTTATTTGCCTCGTAATTAACCGATGCTGTCGTGTATAAAACAAATGAAAACATAACAAATGTAATGAATAGTGTATACACCAAAATCAAGCGCACAATTAAGCCCATACTATGAAACATAATTACATACAATAATAGTGTGAATGATAAACCCATTAGAGACCAGATATTAAATATAAATTGACACCAATACGACCCGTTATACTCACTGATCTCAGTGTATATTGAATTCAATGATCGCAATTTATCCAATGTATATATTGAATTAAATTTACAATCACCTTGCAAACGTTTGTTTATATGCTTGTTCATCAAACGTATCTTGTATTTTTCATAATAACAAATAAGGTATAAGTAAAGCATAAGCCATAGATTAAGATTACAGTTATAGACAATCAGCAGGGCTAAATGAATGACATTTGGTATACCATAGCATATCATCTCAAATAATGTACAATTCATTACATATGAAATCGACCAGAATATTGTACTTAATATTATAGTCCTATCGGTAATAAAATGACATATTTTCAATAAATGTTTAGATTTCATTGCAAATGTTTGTATAAATTGACAATCTGTAAGTCCAATATTTGCTGGACATACCCGTCCCGACAGCATATCAAATATAGCCATAAATTTAGGTTCAATATAAAGTATGTTTGGGCGGTAAAATATGATTTGATTCAAACTAGTTAATATTGAATAGAAAATTATCATTAAATGAAAGTGCATTTGAATGCTAAGCATATCCATCATATATGGAAAGTCACTGAATATTATAAATATTATTCGCAAATCTTTAGATGTGTTTAATGTAATCAATGCTTTAATAATATACAACAACTCAATCATTTGAATCACGTATGGATTGTAAATAAGACTTCTCTTAATACCTAGATTACTTGTTTTCAATAAACCAAGTTTATATAATTGTGTCCCGGCTGTAGGTGTGATTAAATCACCAGGCAATACTAGATTAGGATTAATACAACTTATTTCAGTTTTTAATTTCATAATTTATAAGTTATGTAACATAATACTCAAAACATATAACACCGTAACAATAAATGTTGTTATATTATTATGTCATTAAAACACATTAGCATCAAAATTATATCACTAAAAATAGTAATCATAATGTCGTTTTCACAGAAAATATTCATAAAATGTTAATTATTATTGCATAATCAATTAATGATTAAATTTTAATGACTATTACTAATACAGTAATTCAATACATAAAAATAACTGTAATTATTCTAATTATATAATACATATTGAGTGCATTACAGTGTAATTCTTAATATAGTATATTATCATATGTAAATCTATTTATTAGTATTTTAATATAATTAGTAATTAACAGTATTTTCACAAAATTCTGAACCCTCTGTAACAAAAATAAAAATGAAATAAAAATAATTTGTATAGGCATATTATTATATTAAATAAATAAAAATAAGAATTTAATATTTTAATATTCCACATATATCATAGATACAACATAATCAAAGGTAATATAAAATAAACTATAAACTTTATACTGATTAGTAAAATTAAAGTTTAAATTCTGTTTAAATCATAATAAATTTGAACATGTTGGTTAACACTAATAAATTTTGTTATACAGTAAATATATTTATAATTAGTTTAAGGTTTATCTATTAAATCAAACTACTATCACTTTACTTTATGGTGTATTTGGGTTTAATATTAAGATCAGTTAAATGTTTGGTATGCGTTCAACAATTTATATGTTTTGTTTGCCTCATAATTAACAGTCGATGTCATGTATATTATAAATGAAAATATAGTTAACGACACAAACAATGAATACAATAACAATAGAAATATAATTAGACTCATAGTATTATTTTGAAATACTATGATATATGTCAAAGTAATGATTACGAGTCCCCAGAGTGACCACACGTTACAGATATGTTTTGACCAATACGTGCGGTTATAGTCATGAATTTCACCGTATATTGAATTCAATGAATTCATTGTTTTCAACGCAAATACAGAGTTAAATCTGGCTAACTTTGAATGAATTATAACTTTATCATTAATCAAACGTATTTTGTATTTAAGGTAATAACACATGAGGTATAAGTAAACCAATAGCCATACATTAAGGTTGCCACAATATAATATGATTATTGACCCGTGGATTATATTTGGTATGCCATAGAATATGATCTCAATTATAGTACAATTCTTGAGGTACGGAACCGTCCAGAATATTGCGGTCAATATGATAGTCTTGCTGGTAATAAAATGACATATTTTGAATAATCTTTTAGATTTTATAGCAAACTTGAAAATAAAATTACAATCTGTAAGTCCAATATCTGCCGGACAATGTAAACCGGATATTACATTAAATATAGCCATAAATGTAGGTTTTGTACCTAATTTACTGGTAAAATAAAATATGAACTGATTGATACTAGTTAATAGTACAAGGAATATAAGCATGATATCATAATGCTTTTCAATGTTCATCATATAAGGAAAGTCTGCAAACATTATGAATATTAGTCGCCATTCTTTCGGTGAAAATAAAGTTATCATAAGTTTAATGATAGCCAACCACTGGATTGTTTGTATCACAAATGGATTGTACAGAAAACTTCTATTTACCAAATAATCAGCATGACTTTGTTTAAATAATAATCCAGTTGCATACAATTGTGAACACGCTGTTCGTGTAATTAAATGAAGCGGTAGTGTATGTTCCAGATCAATCATATTCATTTTGATTTATAAGAGTGTTAATAGTTATTTATGCTGGTACAAAATTATAATATACTGAACAATATTATGTGTTATAAATAAAGTAAATTAAGTTAAACCACAACTTTATTATTAAGGTATAATAAATATTTTCTAAAAATATTTACTAATTAACCTCAAATATTTTAATTAAATAAACGTGCTCATCATTAAAGTGAGTTTAAAATGTAATAATAATATTTATCTATAGAAATTGAGTTAATTAAATAATTATTCCTTTAATGTCTATATTAAATAAAAATATTAATTCAATTGTCTTATATAATATATAGTGATAATTGTTTTATAAAAATATTAATAAATAAGAAATTGAATAAAAACATTAGACAATAATATTTTTAATCACATGATAAAATTCCTCTAATATTTTTTATAGTTTATCATTTTGTTATTTATTTTATTTTAAATATTTAACAAATTTTATTTGTGATTATACTGATACAGCAAATATAAATATATTATTTTAAAATTTATAAATATTTAAGGAATTTTAATTTTAAAATATGTAATCAGTTTGATATGAATTCAACAATTTATATGTTTTGTTTGCTTCATAATTAACAGCCGATGTCATGTATATTATAAATAAAAATATAGTTAACGCCACTAACAGTGAATAAAATAATAGTAAATATATAACTAGTGTCAAGTTTTGAAATATAAGTATATATATTAATAAAACAATAAATAGACCCCAAAGTG